ATGGATTTATTAAGCATTTACTATATGTCAAGCAAACTACAAGACACAATATCAGGGATAAGCAAAGCTGGCATACAAAATGACTTGTAGTGACACATTTAGGCACTTGTCCCCTCCCTTCAGTACCCTTTTCTTCAACCTGGTGTCTTACCTCACTCTCTTGGCTCCCAAGGTCCTTATTGAATTTATAAAGAGTACAGCTAACGGGTGGGAATAGTTCACTCTGTTGCTGTTTTCCAAACTGTAAGATTGCTGTATTGCCCTGAACGCTATTCTCGGGGGCAAGCTATCCTATCGCGTCCCCAACTATTCATGTGTCAGTCTGTCAAGTTGCCCTCATTCCACAGCTTGGAGATGTGGTATGTGGCCCATATGCTCTCTTCCCCTCTATATCTGGGAACTGGAGAAGGTGGGTTAATGTCTATCTGGCCCTCATAAACTAGAACCCAGTATTTCCAAGGAACTGGTAAATGAGACAGTGTGTTACTGTGGATGACCTTTGAAAAACTGTAGAGAATGAGATCATTGCCTTAGGACTTAAGAAGGGCAAATGCTGTACTGATTTTCTAAAAAAGGTAAGATAATGGGTTTTGTAAACTCTAGGTTAGTAAGCCCAATGTTAATCCTTGGCAAACTTCTAGAACATATTATTAAGGGATAGTTTGTAGGCATTTGCAGTGGGAAATGGTGATTACTAACAGCCAACCCATCTTTGTCAAAATGCTAAAATTTAATAGGAGTATGGAAATGCCGACATTTGGGTCCAGAAATTGGCTTCACAAATACAAGACAGGAATGGTTTGGCCTGATAGCAGTTTGTGTGAAAAAGATAAATGGGGTTTGGCCTACCATAAACTCAATATGAGTCAGCATGAAACATGGCTAATACAATCTTAGGCTACATCAAGACAGCCTATAACAGAAGAGGATCCTCTAAAGGAACTGGGGCTGTTTAGTTACTCCTGCTTGGGGTAGGGTGGGACCTGACTCCTGTCTTCAAATAGTTAAAAGGCCGTCATATGCTGCTTAGTTCCAGATGGTAGAACTGGAAGTAGTGGGTGGAAGTTGCAAAGAAGCAGATTTCAGTTTCGTTGGAGGGATCATAGGATCATATATTTAAAGTTAGAAAGGAGCTTAGAGGCCATCAAATCCAATATCCTTGTTTTACAGAGGAAGAAATTCAGCCACAGAGAGGCTAAGGAACTTGCTTACTATCCCTTAGCCAGTGGCTGAGGTGGGATTTTAATCTAGGTCTTCTTGACTCCAAATCCAATGCCCTCATGACTACATCCTGCTATATCCTTAAAAAAAAAAACATACCAGGAGGCAGCTAGATGGTGCAGTGGATACAGCACCAGCCCTGGATTCAGGAGGACCTGAGTTCAAATCCAGTCTCAGACACACAACACTTAATTAGTTATGTGACCCTGGGCAAGTCACTTAACCCCCATTGCCCAAAAAAACCAAAACCAAAAACACACCATAGGAAGGGATCTCAGAGACCTTCTAATCCAATACTTTCATTTTATGAGAGAATTGAAGTTTAAGTGATTGCTTTGCCCAAGGTCATACAGGCAGGAAATGTCAGAGGCAGAGTTTGAACCCAGACCCTTTGACCACAGAGTCAATGCTCTTTCCATTATACCAAACAGGCAGGTAAAAAAAAAAATTACAAAGAAATAGCACTACCTGAAAATGGAATGGACTCTTTGGGCAGATAGTAGATTCCCTCATAACTTATTTTCAAGCAGAGGTTGGAGAACTGCTTGTCTAGGATACCACAGAGGAGATTCCTGTTTTAGTGTGAGTAGATGACATAAACTTTGGGGCGGCTAGGTGGCACAGTGGATAGAGGACTGGCCCTGAATTCAGGAGAACCTGAGTTCAAATCTGGTCTCAGACACATAACACTTACTAGCTGTGTGATCCTGGGCAAGTCACTTAACCCCATTGCCTAACCAAATTAAAAACAAAACAAAACAAAATAAAAAAACCAAAAATAAATACTCCTTTAAAAAATAAAAGATGAGATAAGCTTCTGAAGTCATTCCAGTTCTGAGATTCTGTGATTCGTTACTACCCCTAAAATATAAATATAAAATATAAAAATAAAAATATAAAAAATAAATATAAAATGAGGACATGTTAAATTGTGCAGTAGAGATAAAAGGGTGATATAAATTCAGAGAAGGACGGTGAGGATTATAAGGACTACAGTGGCCAGTCTTCCTTCATAGAGGAAGACAGAACTTGAAGTGGGCCTTGAAGCAGAATTATGATTTGGATCAATAGTGTCCAATGTCGAAGTCATTGTCAAGTTTTTTGGATTCAACCTCTGTAACATCTTCCCCTGTGACCTGTTCTCTTTACTCATGCTACCAACACCCAAGTTTATGCTCTTGTTACTTTATCATTACAATACCTGGATTAGTGTAATAGCTCTTAAATTGTTTTCCTTCCTTCCAGGCCCTCCTTTGTCAAATCTCTTTCACGGCTACCAAAAGAAATTTTCTAAAGCATGGGTTGGACTGTGCCATTACCCTGACAAGAAACTTTCATCATATCACTATTGCCTGTAGGATGAAGAGCAAACCCATTAGCTTGGCATTTAGGGCCTTACACAAGTTGGATCCAGTCTAGATCTTTAGCCTTTTCATGTTATTCCTCTTCACATACTCTGTATGTCCTGGTCAGACTGGACTGTTAGCTGGCCCCCAAACTCTGCTTTTCATTTTCTACTGTCCCAAATTTGCATAGGATAATCTTTCATGCCCAGAAGTCCAATGAATTTTCTGTGATTTTTGACCCCAGTTGGGACACAATGGGAAGAAGTATCACTATAATATAAATATTATAAGTATGTACATGTAATATGCTATTGCCTGTGAATAATAATTTCCCTCGAGGCAATCAGGGGTTAAGTGACTTGCCCAGGGTCACATAGCTAATAAGTGTCAAGTATCTGATTCCGTATTTGAACTCAGGTCCTCCTGACTCCAGAGCTAGTACTCTATCCACTGTGTCACCTAGTTGCCTCAATAGCTCACACTTCTAAAGTGTTGTATAGTTTGAAGTTTCCCACAACAGCTGCTGTGAGAAAAAATGGTACCAGTATCATACACTCTACTCATCAACTTGTTATTCTCTATACACAACACTCTATCTCCTTTCTCTCTGCCTTTGCATGGGCTCATCCTCATGCCTAGAATGCTCACTTTTCCTTCTTGAAATCCCTAGCTTTCTTCATAGTCCAGATCATGCCACCTTCCACTCAGGGCCTCTTCTGGTCCTCTCAATTGTTAATGCCCTCCTTCCAAAATTACTTTGTATTTACTTTGTATGTATTTTCTATTTACTTATCTGTATCTGTGCTTTGCCCAATTAGAATTTAAGCATCTTGAGGGCAGGGGTTGTTTCATTTGTTTTTCTCTTTGTATTCCTAGTGCCTAACCCACTGCCTGGCACATAGTAGGCACTTGTTAAATATGAAATGCTATTTTCCAGATTCCAAATCCTCATCCAATTCTCAGCTAAGGTATCATCTCCTCTGATGCTTGCCTGTTATTTGCATTCCTTTCCTCATGTAATTTTCCTAGAACACTTTGGCTGATCTCTCCTTTGCCCCCTTCACTCTCCGCATTATATCATACTTTTCTGTGTACTTGTGATAGCCTCAAAACATGTAAACATCTTCAGAGGAAGGAATGTTCTCTTCATCTTTGTTTTAGGCACTGGGCGTATGATGTGGGTTGAGATGGATTGTAATTGAGGGATTTAGCTTTAATGGAATAGAAAATAAGGTTTTTGAGTAGTAGAGTGGCATGATGAAAGTAGTGATTAAGAAAGATTAGAATGGTGGTAGCATGTTGAATGGATTAGAAGAGAATAACCCATAATCAAGGAGAATAGCTAGAAGGTTATTGTTAAAACAATCCCAGACACGTGGTGGTGAGGATCTTGAATTAAGGTGGTAACAGACTGAAAAGAAAGGAATTAATGTTAAGAATAAATCAAATTTATGTACTACTTCTAGGTTTATAAAGAAAGAGAAGTTTTATAGGAAGAATGGTCAAGACTTGATGACAGCCAGATCTATGATATGGATAGATAATTATCTTTTTTTTTTTTTTTGCTAAGCAATGGGGTTAAGTGACTTGCCCAGGATCACACAGCTAGTAAGTGTCAAGTGTCTGAGGTGGCATTTGAACTCAAGGCCTCCTAACTCCAATGCTGGTGCTCTATCCACTGCGCCACCTAGCTGCCACCTAGATAATTATCTTTTATATGCATGGAAATCAATCCATCAACAAACATTATATTAAACACTCGTGATGTGCTAGGAATTAGGGATACAGAGAAAAAAAATGTAGTAGTCCCTGCCCTCAAGGAATTTATATTCTACAATATGTACATAAAGATGTTAGTTTGGAGAGGTAGGTTGGAATCAAGTTATAAACACTTTTAAAAGTTGTAAACAGAAGAGCTTATCTTTGGTCCTAGAGGCAAGAAAGAGACACTGGAAACTGCTGGGTAAAGGAGAGACATGATCACATGTGTAACTTTAAGAAAATCACTTTAGTAACTTTGCGGAGGGACGCATTTGAGAGAGGAGAGTCGTGAGGCAAGGAGATAAATGCATAGGCTCTTGCAAAAGTCCAGGTTAGAGGGGATTGAATTAGGGTAGTATCTGTGTGAGCAGAAAGATGTTCTGGAAGTAGAAAGACACAATTTGGCAACTGACTGAATATGAGGGATAAGTAAGTCGTTCTGAATATGTCTTTGCTTGGTAAAGCATTCAAAATCTGTAGGATTATACTTTAATGGCATATGGGAAGCACTGCAAATGCTATACATTGTTAATCATGGAATCAATATATATTTCAGAATGCGTTTTATTGCCATTTGAAAACATATCTCGTTAAGGATAACACATCCTTTGCTGAATGTAAACCTGTTCTGTTCTTCAGAATGGAAGAAGGAAATAATTTAATTACACTTACATTGAACTCTAGCACAATCCCGAGGCAATCAACCATCAATGACACTAGTGTGGCCATAGTAATGATGACTGCTGTCACCAAAACATGGGAAATTTTTGAAAGGTTCCCACCAAAGAAAACATTGGCAATTACCTGTCAAAAAAAGATAAGATTTAGAAAATTGAGTGTCCATTTCATGTTTAGGTATTTTTTCTTTATACACAGTTTTTTGACACATCAGTCACTTCCTAACAAATAATGCTTTCCTGTAATACTTTCCCAGAAAAAAAATGTTAATTGTATGCAACTGCTGGATAGGATATTTTTAGTACTATACTACTAGACAATATGTACTAATGTTATGTATGTATATATGTGTATATAAATGCACACACCCATATTTAAAACCTTTACAGTGAAATCAGAACTTAATAATAATGTCTCTGTTCTTTCCAAAACACACCCTTGACATGACCGGTAATGCTAATTATTGCATTTTGTGCTCAGGAAAAAAAAAACATGACAGACATATGGACAATCGAATACCAGCATTAGGGTAAGATATAAACTATCCTTGTGATGGAAAAGTCCTTGAGGACCTATCTTATTCCTTTTCCTTGGATACATAGAGGTCTACAACTAAAATAAACTAGACAGATGGCTGTTTATTTGGAAGGTTTCTAAGGAAGGATATTTCACAACTTTGCTCAGTGATCCGTTGCTTCTTTGTTTTTGTCTAAACTCCCTCTTGCAATTAAAGACTGTTTTCCCTTGTCCTTTTCTCAGTGAGGATAGAGAGGAATCGATCATTATTCTTTAGAGAATAATCAACTCAATCAACAAGCATTTATTGATCCCTTACTATTTATGCCACACTGTGTTAGACACTGTGGGGAATAGAAAAGATGTATTAAGTATGAAATCCTTGCTCTTCAGAGCTTTCAATCAATCTTGGAAAATAAAACAAACAGTATGAAACTAACATTAAAGTGCTAACATCATTAGCATAGTGACTGTCTACAGGAGGCACGTAATAAATGCTATTTGACTGACTGGCTCTCCGGACTCAGGATACTAGGATTTTGTGGATAGAGTTTACAGAATAACATAATTTACAATTGCAAGGAAACCTTTGAAGTGACCTAGTCTCTTATTGTACATAAATACTCTCCATCAGCAAGTGCTTATAGAGACCCTTCTTGAATACTTTAAGTGACAGAGAGCTTACTACCTAGTAATACTGTGTGGACTGGAGTAGTCACAAAAGCCTTTGTGGAGAAGATTGAACTTGAGCTCATATTTGAAATGAATGAGATTGTATGTTATTGGAAGGCATTCCAGTAAGGTAAGAAGAGCATGAACAAAGTCACGGAGTCATGAATGACCATGCTATACGTACAATGCATATAGGATACGAAAAAAGGTTGGTGAATATACTGGAGAAAGCAGGGTCCTAAAACTGGTTAATTCCTAGGGCTGGAAGACATCATCTAGTTAGATGACCATTTAGATCTAAGATCATTAGAGATCTTGATCTAATTATCATTAATCTAGATTGTAGAGTCGTCTAGTCCAAGCTCCTTACTTTACAGATAAGGACACATTTTTGGAATTCCTTAGGCTTTCATTTAATGCCCATCCCAATCTGACCATTATCTCCTTTTTCAGAGCCATATTTCCCATTACTCTCCTTCACGTAGTCAGTGCTTCAGCCACACTGGCCTACCAATTATTCTTCTAACCTTATCTATTTATGCTTTCACATAGGCTTTCCCCTATTTTTCAAATGCGCCCCCTCCATACTTGTGCTTCTTAGAATTCTTAGCTTCGTTCAGGGCTCAGGTAGTGTGACCTTTCCATGATGCTTTCATTAGTACTCCTAATTGTTAGCATGCTTTCACTCCTCAAATTGGCTTGTATTTACTTCTTTGTTTGCCTCTTGTAACCCACTCAGTAGCATGTAATGTTTTACGGAGTTGGAACTGTTTCATTTTTTTTTCTTTGTATGTCCAGGACCCAGCACAGTGTTTAATGGAAGGTACATAATAAATTCGTGTTGAATTGAATACATAAAAATGACAATGGTGGAACAGTCGAATTGGTATTAGATTGTAGAATACTTGAAAGAAGCCAATAATTTTTCTTGTGTTATCTAGATAAGTAATTTCTCCCAAATGATATAATGTAGCAGAGTCTCATGGATAAAAGGCCTTGAAATTAAGTTCAAGCCCTACCTCTGATGCATATTGACTAAGTGACTCTAGGAAAATCACAATCTCTCAGTGACCCAGGCAATTGCTTAGGGCTCTAAGTTGTTCATGCTTTTCTAAGTTGTACCAGCAGACAGTTTCCACAACATGAGTTGTCCAAGTAGATGAAGTCATTGGCTTGTTCTGAAACAAACCAAACAAAAAACCTACATAATGCCTTAAGCCAATTAAAACATACATCCCTGGAAGGTCTTTAAGGAATAATTATACTGATAGGAAGTTGAAAATTGTAACAGTGGTAAAGGAGTTATTTTAGGGCTGATGGATATTTTGGCAAAGCTCAAATAATACCCTGTATGCTCTCTACTCTGCCTCTGAATAACCCTTGTTGATCTCATACCACATGGGTGTGTTGTGTGTGTGTGTGTGTGTGTGTGTGTGTGTGGTGTGTGTGTGTATCTGTATTGCTTGTATATGCGTGGAAGCAAGAATAAAAAGAAAGAGGAATGGTGAGGGAGATATAAATGAAGATATATTTTATTAAATTACTATTCCCATAGCAAAGTTTTTAATTTAATTACTTTTCCAGGTCATGGCACTTGGAAACAGAAAAAAAATGACAAATACTCAGTTCTAAGTCCTTCAAGATGCAGATTTGAAGGTGGAGTGATTTTTGAACAATTAATGCCTAGCACCCACAATTAAACAAGGTGTGCACGTTGCATCAGTTCTGATCTGAAAACCAGATTTGGACTTGAGATATGGCTGGAGAAAAATTAAAACAGAAGATTCCTATACCTTTACTGCTGATTTCAAAATCAACCTTTAGCTCTTTCTTCTTTTACCACAGAAACAAGAACCCATACTTAAGCCTCTGAGTTGCAGTATTCACAACCTCACAAAAAAACCACAAACCTACTAATCAGTATAAATTAAAAATGAAATCTGTGAATTAGTCTAGTTATTTTGGAAATCAACTCAGCATGACACACAAAAAGTCCCTAAAATGTGCATACCCATTGATCCAGTGATATATCTCCTAAGCCTAAATCCCAAAGAGATCAAAGAAGGAGGAAAAGGACCTATGCATACAAAAAGTATTTAGGATAACTCTTTTTCCAAAGGCAAAGAACTGAAAACAAAGTAAGGGAGTTCCCATCATCTGGGGAATGGTTATACAAATTAGTGTATGAATATAAAGTAACATCATTGTGCTGTAAAAAAATGATGAAAAGGATGGGTTCAGAGAAACCTGGAAAATTCGTATAAACTGATGCAAAGTGAAAACCAGAGACCAAATATATAATAACAATAACATTATAAAGACAGATGACTTTGAAAGACAATATCCAATCAATGCAATGACTAACCACAATTCTGGCAGATCTATGATACCCACCTCCAATGGAGATAGACTTAGGACAAGGAATGAGACAGCCATTTTTGGACATGGACAATGGACATATTTGCTTTGCTTGACCATGCCTTTTTGTTACAAGTGTTTTCTTTTTCTTTTAAGATAGGTGTGAAGAGTGAGAAGGAGAGAATGCTTAATTGGAAAATAAAATGAAGCAAAAAGAGTATAAGTAGTGTTTTGAATTATATATTCAAGATGTGCCTGGCCCATGACTGGCATTAGGTAGCTGCCTGTCTGAGAAGCAGGATGATATAGTGGACGGAGGGTCATACCTGACTCTCCAGGTATGTCTCTTGAATATATGTGACCCTGGGCAAGTTGCCAATCTACACAGCTTGACGGAGCTTCCATACCTAGAATCACCTCTTCTAAAGATAAACTCGTAGGTCTGAACCAACCCTCTCAGCCTCCCCCCCCCAAAAAAAAAATCTTCTTGCCTTTTAGAGCAATGTTAAGTTGAAGATTCTGTTTTAAGTTTCAGGCTGTTCATTTAATATATTAAACCTATTCACCCTAGACTGTGTAAATAATTTCTAGGAGTAGGCTTTTAAGTCTAGGGGCCTTCCCAGTGTGACTTCTGAAAGGTTGACTGTGAATCAGTCATATTAAACTACAAATGGATGCAGAAGGATTTTTGATGGACTTCATGATGGACCACCTGAAAGCCGCGTTTTCTCACTTTGGTATGGCAAGAATCAAAACACTTCCTTTAGTCTCTACCACCCACCCCCGTCTTAATATAGATCTCCCTTAATTTCACAAATTCAGTTGGATTGGATTTCATAGTGGCTGCCATCAGAGGTTAACGAAGGAGATAGTGAAATGTAAAAAGTACATGCATTCTTGTGGGGGCAAAGCTAAAGGTATAAATTTGAAATGTAGGGATTCAAGGAAAAATAAAATATTTCCATGTGTGTATGTGTGTATGTGTGTGTGTGTGTATGTATATAAAAAATATATATGAACTAATTCTACCGAGGGGAAATATATCCCATATTACTTCTGTGCTTAAATAGAGTTGACTGTGGGGAAAGAAAACTTTAAGTAGCAAAAGTCATGAAAAACAGTTTGGATATGGGTTTTGTTTTTAAAATTTAGTTTGGCTGTACCAAATGCCAGGAAAAACCATGGAATGCACTTATATAAATATTTGACCTTATGTTAATATAAACTCAAGCCTAACCATGATTTACAAATTCTGCTTGTGAAAGTTTCTCATAAACGTCTGAATGGGCAGCAGTACTGGACAGTTAGTGGAATGAGTAGAATGACTCTGAGAGTCAGAGTGTCAAGTCTAGTTCCAATCCTGTTACTAATTAGCCAGGGAAAAGCTATTTAATCTTTCACTCTTCAGTGTCTTCATCTATAAAATGGTGGAAGTGGCTCAGATGATATTTAAGGTCCCTTTCAGCTCCAGAATTCAGCTCAAGAATGAAAACTTTTCTTTAAATCCTGCTGCTGAATAACTAAAAAGAAATATGAGTGGTAGAACCTGTCTTGAATGCATATATTTGCAACAAACTATTCTAATATCAAGTCAACAAAGAAACTACATGTGCAACACCTATACTCGGAAAATGAATTGCAAATGCTCACCTCTCTGGTCACGAAGCATTCGATTGGATAAGTCAAAATGACAGTGATTCCATAACAAAATCGTCCAAAGTTAACTAGGTCATCATTTCTGCAATAATTTTCAAACAAATCTCCTGGGGAATAACATAAAATTGAAGTATTTAATAACTCAATAAACCTGAGAAGATTTGTATGAACTGATACAGAATGAAATGAGCAGAACCAGAAGAACAACTTATACTAAAACATCAATACTGTAATAAATGAACAATTCTGGAAGACTTAAGAATTCTGATAGAGTGTTCAACATGATTCTAGAGGACTTATGATTAAGAATAATGCCCATCTCATGACAGAGAAATGATAAGGATGAGACATGCATTTTTAGACACGGCCAACATGGGCATTTGGTTTTTTTTGACTATACTTATTGTGATACAAAGGTTTTATTTTTCTCTCAGTGGTTTAGGGCAGGCAGAAGATGGGAAAATGCCTGATAATTGAAAAATTAAAAATATTAGTGATAGCTAGTTATCAGGGGGATAGCCTTTTCTTGTTCTCACCACTTATTTTTGGTGGCCTAACTACAAATTACTTTTGAAAGCTGTCTTGGAAGAGTTTCTGCCTGCTTGCAATATTTTTCTTTTTCTTTTTTTTTTCAATATTTTTCCTTTGACTTAGGAGCTCCGGATTTGGGGAGCTCTGGATTTTGACCATGACATTCCTTAAAGTTTTCATTTTGGGCTTTCTTTCAGGTGGTGATTGGTGGGTTCCCTGATCAATGCAATGACCCACTGTGACTTCAGAAGTCCAGTGACAGAAAATGCTACCCACTTCCTAACAGAGAGATGACAGATTAAACATGCAGCATGAAAAACATTTATGGTCAATATGAGAATTTGTTTTGCTGAAGTAGGCATATTTGTTACAAGGGTTGTTTTTTTTTTCCTGGGGGGAGGAAAGAAAATAAATATTTGTTAATTGAAAATAAAATTTAAAAAGCGGAAAAAAACCTATATCGGAAAACTCTGGAATTAGCTTAACAAAATGTCCTCATGCTCCTTGCTTCTGATTATTCAATTAATAATAGAAAGAAAAATTTCTGGTTAAAATAAACAAGTTTTCTTTTGAAGTGTTATTCTCAGAACAAGGACAGCTCCCAAAGGAAGTGGAAAGACAGACATCTGGAGACCTGCATTTCCTGAATACTACATTACAAGATCTAAGCACAGTTTCTAACATGGGGAGGAATTTCAGACATTATCCTTCTTGGCATTTAGGAGCTCTTGGTCCATTTATTGTTAACAGAAAAAAAAATGAGATACAAGCTTCCGTAGACAACATTATATGGCATCAGGACAAAGAGAAATGACAGAGTAATTATACCTTTAAAAAACTGCATTAGTGACTTTATATCTCCATCAAAATAGGCGTTTTCAAGAGACAGCATTATCACCTCTGAACAATTTAGAGAAGAGGATGCAGAGAAAAAGGCAGGAAAGGGGAGGGGAATGATAAAAGAATAGTTATTTAGGGCTTGTCCTTTTCAGCATAAAGTGTTTTTCCTGCTTTTAAATTATTTGGCCACCTTGTTTCAATCAACCCAGATGGAAAACTAGATTAAAATCACATATCCTATTCAATCATTCCAAAAGGAAAAGAAGGGAAAACAACTTCTGAATTTTTTCTTTCAAATGCCAAACCTGCTTATGAATGTAAGTATGATTCCTCTAATTCCTCTCACGATAGCTTCCTTCAGACATTGAAAAGCTTTTGTGGGGCAGAGGGCTTAGATTTGTTCCATTTGGCCCCAGAGGAGAGAACCATCATGACCCATGGACACAAACCTCAAAGAGGCACATTTAGATTCCAGGTCAGGTCTTGACAATTAGAGGAGAATTCCCAAAAGCAGAATAGGCTTCCTCTGGAGGTAGTGAGTTACTCCTCCCTGGATGCCTTCAAACAAAGGCTGGCTATTCATTTGTTGGGCACGTGATAGAAGGGATTCTTTTCTCAGGTATGGATGGGACTAGATGGCCTTTTGCGTTTCTGTCCTATTCTGAAATTCAGATTCTGGGATCTTAAACATTAGCAGTATTCTTAGTTGGTGCCAGGGGAGCTGCAGTTTAAGAGTGGTGATGATGGTTCTGAGATTGTCATGGTTGAATTACAAATAAAACTAGTTTGTGTTTTTAATGTGTTGTAGCTTTATTCTTTTTTCTATTTAACTTTTATTCTTATGAAGCTAGTGTGGTATAGCAGATAGAGAGCTGGCCTCAAAGCCAGGAGGACCTGAGTTCAAATCCCACCTCTGATACATGCTGGCTATGTGACCATGGGCAAGTCACTTAGCCTCTAGGAAACTCTCTCAGATTTTAAGTTGCAGCAAAAATGCTGACTTGCACTGAAAGAAGGAGTTTTCTCATCTGGGAGTTCCACACTGTCAATAAAATCACAGGTCCAGTCCAGTTCTCATTTCTATTGCTAGTAAAAAGATGAAAGCTATTTCCATCAGGTGATCGACATGAACAATGGTACAGGGATATGAATGAGTATGGTGTGTTTGGTGAACAGTAAATAGACCTATCCAGTGATTCATGAAGGAGGGTGATGGGGCATAAGTTTAGAAGGGTATTTTGGGAATTGTACACAAAGCTGGGGAGCTGATTTTTATCCAGTGGGCAGTGGGAACCATCTAAGGTTTCCAAGCAGGGAACTGACATGAAGATAACTGGGTTTTGGGAAGATTAAGCCCACAGTGTGTAACATGAATTGAAGGTGAGGTCACCCAGGGACAGAGAAGCCAGCTAAGAGTCTAGCCATGAAGTAAGTGTGGTCTTAACTAGGGGGATGGCCGTGATGATGGAAACGAGTAAACAGAGAGAGGCTGGGGAAGGAAGACGCAACAGGCCTTGGTGACTAAAGGGGTTATGTGGGAGGTTTCAAAGAGCAATTCACTATTGGAGAAAAATGAAACCACTGAGAAAAATGTGCAAAGCAGCAAGAAGAGGTAGATTGGTGAGGGAATAGGATGAGTTTAGTGGGAGATTGAGTTTTAGGCAGTGTGGCATAGGCAACCAGCATGGAGGAGTTAACACTTCTGGAGGAAAGGAGAGGATGAACAGGGAGATACGTGAGAGGAGGAGTTAAATTAAAAATAAGAAAATATTAAATACTTCCCGGCAAACAATGAAGTATAAGCTTGCATCTCTCACTGTACCTTGTGTGTGGCCAGTAAATGTCAGATAACCAGAGGTAGCAAACAGCACACTGATAAATGCAGAAATCATGACTGATGCATGAATGACCTGAGACCACTTAGCCACTGTGGGTTCCTCCAGGGAACCATAAACTAAGAAGCTGTTATGGTGGCAGATGAATGCTATAATGGAAAATAATGAGAGCATTAATAAAACACACTCCGTATTTGACCCACGGTTCTCTTCTTTATTCCAGAAAAGATTGAGAGACATTTGCCTCTGGGGAAGCCTAAAGAGTGATAGTCTAAATCAACTAATTATAAGTAGGCCAATGAAACTTTCTTTTACACTTCTACGAACAAAAAGCCCCCTACTCACACCAGGTCTGTGTGGTAGTCTTATGTCATCTCTGACAAAAAAAATCCTCTTGGATGGAACATTGGAAAATCGTACCTTTTCCTGTCAGTCTCCCTGGATAATCTCGGGTCCAAATAATAGAGCAGTTTTACAATACCAGGCAACTAATAACAAGTATCACCCAAAGCTTGGGAAGAATATCATGACACCAAGCTAAGAAATATAATTGTCATAATAGAATTACTGTGCTTGGAAGGGATTTATCTACGTGTAAACAGAGACTTTGGTGATGAATGGGAAGGGCTCACATGCCACTGATAGGAAAGCTAAAGTACTAGACATCTAAAAATGAACCAAAGTGCTTTTACACTGTACAGATACCCACAGGCTGAACAAAGATCTGTATTACTCACTTACTGAATGACATAATGCCAACCGCTTGAATTGCACTGGGCTTTGCAAAAACCCAAGCATCTTCTGTTCTTGATCTAGGGGGAAGAGTTTTAATATTAGTTTTTAAACAATGTTGCATGATTAAAAGTGATAAAAGAATAAGATTATCAGAGATTGCTTGAGATGCTTCACACATTTAAATTCTGTTTTGCCAAGGTAATGTGTAAAAAAGTATTCCCTTATCCCTAATTAGCTGCAATAATAAACAAAATACAGAAAAAAGGTGAGATAATAGGAAATTCTGATTATTTTTCTCCACACTCCATCTTCCACTGTAGGGCAATACCCAAGCAGGCTTTATACTTCTATGAGAAATAGACTTTCACATATACTTTTATATTATGGGGAAGGGAGGAAGGAAGGGAATGAGCATTTATTAAGTGCCTACTGTATCTAGGTATGGTACAAAGCACTTTACAAATATTATCACATTTGATATTATTATCATGGATGGATGATCAATAAAAAACATGGTCCTTTTCCCTCCTCCATCATTCTTTATGTGTCTATGCCTAGGTCATTCTGGCAAGTTGGCCCTGCATGGATTCTAAAAGTCCTTGCTTACCCTTAAATAGAAGATTGTAGATCTTGAACTGGAAGGCACCTTGGAAGTTATCTAGTCCAATTCTCTCATTTTATAGATGAAGAAAACAGGAACCAGAAAGGCAAAATGATTTTTTTGCCAAGAGTCATATTGATAATAAGTGGAGGAGGGGTAAACGGGAAGAGAGAGAAAGGAAAAAGGAGACAGAGATAGAGAGATTTGAACCCAGATCCTCTGACTCCAACTCCATTGCTGTTTCAACCATATCACAAAATGTCTGTGGATTTACCCATTAAGGGAACTATGATTTTAAATGGATTAAGTTAAGGCATTATGTTTGCTTGGCAGGGCAGAGAGCCAAGGGAGCAAATAGTAGTAACTAGTTAACACCTTTAATAGATTACTTTAGCCGATTAAGCCATTACTATCCCAACTCTCCTTACTGAGAGAGCCAGGCTCTATGGGTCACAGGATGGGTGAATTTTGCCGGAGGGGAGAAAGTAGCAAAGAGTCTGGATCCTAAATTGATGCTGTGGAAAGGCAGAATGAGGTGCCACAATAATTACGATCTTGGACAGCATAAGGGTGCCAGGAATATTAATTTAGACTTATGGGTTCTTCACTTGGGGCCCACAAACTTTGTTCTCTTATATTTTGAGAAATGTGTTTCAATATAATTAATTTCCTTTGTAATCCTATGTATTTTAGTTTATGCATTTGAAAACATTCTAAAAAGAGGTCCATAGGCTTCACCAGACTCTGTAAGGGGTCTATGATACAAAAAAGGATTAAAATCCCCCGATCTAGAGAGATTAGATTTGAACACAAAGTTTCTCTATATATAGTCATTCAGTTCAATCCACTGAATAAGCATTTGCTAAATGTCTCCTATGTCTCACACATTGTGCCATGAGCTGGCAGACAAAAATGAGACAGTTCCTGGCTTCAAGTGGCTTACATTTTAGTGATTACATATTTAAGATCAAATGGTTCTGTGACCTCAATGACATTGATTGTAACCTATCCATGTCTGTTCATCCTGTGCAACAATTCTCCAAGTCCTCCTATAATTTCACTATAAGAGATCAACCCAAAAGGCTGGGTATCTTCCTCAATTTCTCTTAGCATCTCTAAGATATCTGTGGAACACATGGGCTGTCTATGTTATCCCTCCCTCTCTTACCATGTAATCAACCCATCTTCTTTTTTGCTCATACCTTTCTTGTATGACATAGATTTACAGAATCATAAAATGTTAGACTTGGATGGTACTTTAGAGATGATTTAATTTAAGGGTTATTAATGTGGGTATGTATATCTGTCAAATGAAGTCTATGGACTTCACTTGCTTTCAAATGCTTTTAATAATGTTTTTAAATGCATGAAATAAAATATATAGGATTGCAAAGGAAGCCAATTATATTCACTGGTAATCAAAATATATATTTTTAAAAACAGGTTCATAGGCCTTAGGTTAAAATCCCCTGATCTCCATTCTCTTCTCAGATGAGGAAGCAGGGACCAAATTTCATGTTTAGTCTTCGTAATGGGGCTGGAGTAGAGCTAGAAAGCACTTTCTTCCTCCTGACTTGGTAGAAACTCTGCATCTCTCCACCTTAATGGGCCACCATTCCAGAAAAGTGAGATGGCCAGCACAGACACAGGAGAGCTTTAAAGAGAAGGAAGCCTGCATGTCAGCCTGCTGCCTGCTACTAATTAGCCTGCTTCAACTCCCACAGATTTTTGAGTGGGAGATGCTGCCACCTGCTGCCTCCATCACTGCATTAAGAATGAACAAACAGCCATACCTGTCAACCTTCCCTATTAATGGGACAGCACACACACACACACACACACACACACACACACACACACACACACACACACACACTTTAATTTGTCTGATTTCCTAATCATGACTCAGCTCTGCCAGAACCAACTGACAACTGTCGAAACTCAAAGATTGCCAGGCTTTCCAAGGCTTTTGAAATGATTTTTCTCTCCCTATTAGCTGCCTGCATTTGAAACCTCTGCTTTTCCAATGGAAAAAAATTCTGACAATAATCCCCTTTCCAAAGCTTTGGACTTACTTAAAAATTGGGAGGTAGCTTTCCATTCTCCTCCTCCCTTTGACTTTTATGTTATCCAAAAATAACAAAGCCTTCCTTTCTGTTTCTATCCAATTTGGGCAAAAGCAGGGAAAGAGAAGGAGGGAGGCACAGGTAAAGGTAGGTAAAATCCATATGGCCAAACTTAGAGAAGGAGAAAGAAGTGTTGGGTATGGTTTTTTTCCCAATGCAACAAACTTATAGGCAATTTGAAAGAACTTATCAATTATGCTTTGGGTAACTATCAGCTGCAAGTTGTTCATGTAGTTGCTCCATGTTTTAATACTGTACACTGGAAAGTGGGGTTTGGGGAGGAAGGTAATAGCAAGTCATTAAAATTCTTCTAGGGGGCAGCTACATGGCATAGTGGATAGAGCACTGGCCCTGGAGTCAGGAGGTCCTGAGTTCAAATCTGACATCAGACCAAAAACTTGACACTTACTAGCTGTGTGACCCTGGGCAAGTCACTTAACTCCAACTGCCTGAAAATAAGGGGGAAAAAACCATTCTAGATGAATTTCATTACCTGGGGCTTAGACTAGTTGGATTTCAAGATCTCTTCTAAGTTACAACTATTACGAACCTTGTTTTTTTTACTCACTGCACTTAAGTGAGGCAGCATAGTGAAGTGGATAGAGAGCAATTCTTGAAGTAAGGAACAACCTGAGTTCAAGTCCCAACTCTGACATGAACAGGCCATATGACTGTAAAAAGTCATTTATTTAATATCTCAGAAGCAGCTAAGATTATGTGTTGTAGAGAATTCATGGACCCACATTGGAATAGGAAGTTTCCTCACTCAGTAACTGATGGATAGTTCCCATCCCCAACTTCTTCTCTTTTACAATAGACCTGTGGATAGCTGAGGATGTGCAGATAGCATCAGATAATAATAATAATAATAATAGCTAGCATTTGTAGAACTTTTTAAAGTTTTCAAAGTGTTATATAAATATTAACTCATTTGATACAACCACCCGGGAAGTAGAAGCCAATTTTATTCCCATTGTTATAAATTAGGAAACTGAGGTAAACAGAGGTTAAGTCACCTTCCTAGGATCATACAATTAGTAAGTATCTGAGACTGGACTTGATCTCAGGTCTTCCTGATGCCAGGTCCAGAGCTCTATCCACTGTATCACCTAGCTGTCTGGCTGGTAGGAGTTATTGTCTTTGAAGAAGAGATGAGAACATCCTGGACAACAGAACAGATGACATTTTCTTTGGATGACTTTCTGTTGGATGGACTTTTATCCATTTTTGCTTGCATAATGCTTTGTATCTCTAAGGAGGATCACTTTGGAGTCTAGTTAGGAAATATTTAGCAAAGGCTCCTTTTGCACCTTAGCATCCACCATGGCTTTCTAGGTTCCTTTTGACTTTGCCATTTGGCTTTATGTGAATCATTTAAACCGGATAGTGGCTATGAAGCTTGCTAAGTCACAGGAGACTTTCCTTAGTGTCTCAGACACATTCCCCAGGAAGGCAGCTACCTTCTCTGTTAATATCAACTTGACAAATAGCTGCCTTGGTAAGACTCAGCAGGAGGTGTCCCTTACAGGACGATCTCTCTTCTGGAAACACCTGTGTATCCACGGCAAGAAAAACAGGTGCTTTCTCTTCAGAAAATCCAGTTACCTTGCCCCTTACTAGAAGAAGAGCCTGCTAATTATTCTTTAGCTCTAAGGGTTTTTCTTTTTAGTGGTCAGCCTCTTCTTCTGTGTCACCCTATTCCACCTTCCTTCTCTATTACAAACAACTCAAAATATCATTATGCTTCTTCAGATTTTTTTTCTTCTTTCTTTTTACCTGGAAGCCCTTCTTCAAATTTTTTTTATAAAAAGGCTTCTTCATTGTTCCTGATAGTCTGGGGATTAGAGAAGTGATTCTCTAAACCTTTTATTTTTCCTATCAGAAGGGAGACCAACAGCATTTTTAGATTTTAAACATAGATATCAATTTACCGGAAATAGAAGTGTAATTCCTAGTCCTCTGTTGTCAGTAGCTCTTGTGCTGAATTGTGACGGCAAACTTATGTGTGGACCACACCCATGTGCCTCTTGGGGGCTTCTGAGCATGCATTATCATAGAGCCTCCTTTCCTTTTTACTTAAGATGAGGCTAGCTTCTCCAACTGTCTTCGAATGACAATTATCAGCTTTCCAAATGTTGATAAGGGAAATTTTGGCAGTCAACAGACATGGGTTTTCTTTCGACATGGAACTCTCAGCAAGGAAATTCCCTTTACCCATTCAGATCAGCACCTTCTCTGCAATGTATAATCTTAGAGAATTTCCTGGGACACTGAGAGGTTAAGTGACTTGTCTATGTTCACATAACCAGGATGTCTCAGAGAGGGGACTTGAATCCAAGTCTTTCCAGCT